TGCTCATTACACGTCTCACCTTGGTGGGACCTGCCCCCACTTGTCTAATGTTGACGAAGTTCCTGCCATCGCATAACTTCACAGAAACTGACAGATCCTCACAGAGGGCGACGGCCGTGATCGATCGGAACAAGCAAAATGCTCCCACCGAACTGATATGCCTCAAAAATTGAAGACAAAATGCAACTCACTCGCTGTACAGTTCGAAAAGCTGATCCTGAAGGGTTTTCTCCTGGGTTTGCAACCATGCGGCCATTTCAGCGAACATTGCACCGGTGCTTACTCCATCCTGGAAAGACTTTCTCTCAAACGGCGCTATACCAGGTACCATGCAAGGTCCGTTACAAGCTTGTTCTACAATCGCTAGCAAATCTTCATTCCAAGGAGTTTCCACAATTCTAACGATCACCACTTGCAGTGCAGTGCCAATTCACACTGAACACACTAGGGCACTGTGCTAGGACACTGCGTGCAACCATTTAAGGGGTTAAGACGTCACGACAAAACAGCACCCATCACACAACTGAACTCACCTTGTCGAGCTTAAACTAAACCAGAGAAATATCGATCGTTGCGTACCGTATTCCTTGTAACAAAACTCAAACATCGTATAAATTGAACATATCAAGGGCCCTCTCTAGCACAAGAAATAGGAACCTCTCGACTAGTACAGGTATAGTCCTCAACAACCAAATCGACAGGGGTGTGGCGTAGGTTTTGGAGCGGCGCCAATTCATTTTCCGCCAATCACTGCTGCACCTCACCAGGATCACCTGACAACGGCTGTTGGACAAGGAGCTGGCACCGCGTCAAAATCCCACGCCCCGTCGATTCAGTTGCGGGAACAATTGCAGGAACGTGCACCCTATCCAAGAGCAAGGCTTTTTAGTCTTCTATTCGAGACGGCAGAGAAATTTTACTAGTAAGTGTGGTCCTCCTTCCTGGTTCTATTCCTGGTATCACGGCCTTTCCGTACCCTCTTTTCCTGAATGGGCTCTCTTGATCTCCATTCTTGATGTTGCCGTAACCAATTCCTTAAAGGTGTTCGATTGCGGGTCAAGAAATCCTAGTTGCGGCGATATGCGAGAACTAGCTTGTCGCGTGCGGCATTCCTAGCTAGTTGACTCGGCCTACCAAGCATGAACCGCTTGAATCATGGGTCTGACTGTCAGCTGTATTTTGCCCCTCTCAAGTTTGGGCTGTATTCCAGTAATTACTATTTTTTTCTGCTTGAAAACTACTAAGTTCTGCCCTCCTGCCTTTACTGTAGCGCGCCTTCTCAGCGCATTAGATAGATAAAAAAGCAATACTGCAGCGTTCACCTTGTCCGCAGGATGTCCAGGCATGAATCCGATACTTTCCTCCCAAGCGAGAATCACATGTTTGCCCTTTTGCCGTAGTTCATGTGCTTTGTTACCCATCCATTTGAAACCGGTCAGTGTCACATCGCTTTTGAATCCTTAAAATTTTACACTTAGGTCGTTCATTCTCTGGCTTTCTGTTTTATCTGTAGAGAAAACACCCACCTTCCTTTTCAGCCATTGTCTTCACTATTTGTGAAGAAACAGCGCTGTTCAGAATATATACATCAGATTTCTTCACTCTCGGGTTTTTCTAAAATGATCCATGTGAACGGACGGAGAAGACAAAATCGCAAAAGAAAAAAGAGAAACGGGAAAAAACCAGAGGAAATGATGGTGTATTCTCACCTCGGACCAGTTCATCCAAACCCACCAGGTCATTAGAGCGCCCATTTCGTTTCCAGTGAATACTTTCCAATCGCCACTGAAAAACTCATTTAGGTGATGTGCGGATCGGAGGCTAACCTATTTCGGGGCGTTTTGAAAAAAAATAGAAATGACTAAGAATATTCAGCTTCAGAAAGAATTTTTGGCGTAGTTCGGCTTGGGAGGGGAAGGGCATTTTGCACTTTCGCTACTTCCCGGTTCATTGCTTTACAAAAGTTGACAGGTATTCTTCACAAGAGTTGACAAGTAGTCTCCACAAACTTTGACTGTTATCAATTCACGGCTTAAAAGACTTCACAATTCTCTACATGATGGCTCGACACGACGATGGGAACTAGTGGAAGTGCAAAGTGCAACCCCCCCCCAACCCGAACTGCGCGATTTTATTGAATTTGAAATAAGTTATCCAAGGCACAGTTCACGCTAAATGTATGGGCGTATTAATGCCAAACATTATGCATGTTTCGAATGCGTCCGCATTTTTTCTAACAGAGGAAAGGGGTCCCAACGAGCAAAGCACAACTCCAGGCTTCCTCAACTCAACTAAATGAATATTGAATGTTCCACGGAAAGTTATTGAAGTGCACAGTCCACGCTGATCGTAAGGGTGGAGACAGTAAACTGTTATACATTCTCACTGATGCGCTCATCCTCTTGACCCGAAAATGAGAGGCACATCATTTGGTAACGCAGGAGGTCAGGCCTGACTTCGCCCATAGAACCAGTGTGGGATGTGACCTGAAAGAATCGTAGA